ACCCTAGATTTCTCTTATCGGTTTGACCTCTGAGACTTTGTTGCGTCATCGATTGTACCAACCGTTTGGGAATGTGTTCAGACATGCACTGTGCCAGGGGCCGATTCGTTCTACCAATGTAAGTGTCACTGCAACTGCAGGTGAACTGTTAGACGATATGTGAAGCGACATTTTTCGGCTGGTTCTGTTTTCTGAAATCCTTGGGTATACGATATCAATGGAAGCTGTGCGGCAGGAAACGTTCGGCCGTCTTGAGCTTTTGACGCACGTCGTTCATTATGTGATCACCTTTAAAGGCGAGTCTGAGGAAGACGCTCTTCTTTGGTATTATGCAGAGGAGATCAACCGGTGTCTTAAGTCTGCTGTGCACATCAATAAATTTCTCTGGATAGCCGTTATCCAGTAGTGTCCTTCGCAGAAAGGCCTTCTTCTTTTTGGATAGTGTCAGATGAATATATATTCCTGGCTCGATGGAACATCGTTTTCACCAGACCTGTTTTGTAAGCCACAGGAGCGAAACTGGCAAATTGTAAGTATTGTGCACTCTATGTTGTCTTACGGTAGTTGGACCATTCTAAGGTTCCATCTGATCGTCTCCTGATTTTTATATCTAAAACATTCAAACAACCATCTTTTTCTTCCTCGAGGGAAACTGAGAGGTTGGGATGAATAGTATTAAACAGTGTTAAAATGGTGTTAAAATGCTCAGGGTCGGTAAAAATCAAAATATCATCAACATAACGTTTGTACAAAACAGACATTGAAATATTATCATTCAGTCGTCTTTCAATCATCCCAAGAAAAACATCGGCTAGTGTTGGGCCCAAGGGACTGCCCATTGCTACACCGTCAATTTGTCTGTGCGCAGTTCCTTCAAATTCAAAACGTATGTTTTCCGTGCAAACAATCATAAGATCTTTTAAATAATCTAGGGGAATAGGAAGGTGAATATTCATTGAAGAGATAAAATCACATAAAAAGTCCACTGTTTCATGGAGAGGAATATTTGTAAAAAGTGAATCAACATCAATAGCATACATCTTATGACAAGATAAATTAAAATTGTCTAATAAATTCGCGAGGTCAAAGGAGTCTTTAATACAATGAGGCGTCAGAGCTTTACGAATAGGATCCAAAATGTCGACCAACCATCGGGCCACTTTGTGATATGATGAGTTCTGCATGCATAAGATTGGTCTGAGTGGGGCACCGGCCTTGTGAATTTTGGGTGAGCCTCTCATCTGGGGTGTCTCTGTTCCCAGTGGTTTCAGATTTTTGTATTGGGCTTCGGTGATGTAATCGTGTAATAACAGAATCTGAAGCTTTCGGGTAATGATTTTTTTCCGTAATACGCTTTTCCGAATACGCCTAATTATATGGTAATCACCGAGTGAAATGATGAAAAACTGGTTGTGCTTGACATTTCTTTGCTGTTTTCAACGCATAAACGCTTGCCCTCTGGATGCCTCTCTGACATTCTCGTTGTGTCCCTCATCACGCATGTACCTATTTCGGCCAACGGTAGTGGTCTAAACGAACGTCACCCGATGCGCATTTTGATTGGCTGTTTTAGCGACCAATCAGAATCACAAATACAGTTGTCCACAGTGAATCGTCGTTGCTTGACTCGAACCTGTATACAGTCGTTCACACGACCAGTTCACGACCTGTTTATGTTTATGGGACGCCTCATTATTTAGCGCTCACTGTTTAAATGCTTCACCAACATGTATGGGAAGTCAGTTGCTCTCATTGGATGGGTTATTCTCGTCCTACAACTTTTACCGTACACATTTATCAGTGCAGTGAATCACAACACATCATGGGATCTACTTGAGACAAATGAGACTGAAGTGGCCAGGTCCTGGTCGAATGATTCTTTCGCCGTGGACGGAAACGTTACACATCGGAAATATGCATTTCTCTATCACAATTTACGATTATATTTCCTCAAATGGTACCTCCCGGTTGTGGTCGGCGTCGGAACATTTGGCACGGTATTTTGCCTTATATTTCTTTTCCTCTCCCGATTGTTTCCCGCAAACATGCTTCTCTGGTTGGTCAGTATCTGTGTCGGTGATTTTCTCATTCTCGTAATGGAAGGCGTGTGGATGCTACTGAAAGTATGGCTAAACTATGACATTCGGGATATTAATAATGTGGCCTGTGTACTTCATACAAGTTTCTCCAACTATTTGTACTATTGGTCAGCCTATATGCAATGCCTGTTATCTATGCAACGTGCCTACTTGATTATTCGTCCTCTGCGTGCCCGGGGGAGTGGACCCAANATATGAAATGGTTGTTGATTATTTGGGTCAGTGTATCCATACTACTTGTCATTCCGATGCTTCCCTATTCACTGTACTGGCGTGTGATTGACGGGGATTGTGACCCACTTCGGGAATCCCTGTTCCGCATTACAACATTGAGCGATTTTATCATATGGAGCTTAATTCCCCTGATCGGGATGACCTCAGCCACCGCGATCATTTGTTGGAACATATTTCGTATTCGTCGCAGTTTCCAGGCTCGTAAAATGCCACCATTCGCTCAGACCACATCCAGTCACTCCACATTCACTTATGTGTGTCCACCGACTCGATCGTCATTGCCCAATCGTCAGGGTGGAGTGGATCGTGAACGAATATTAACCACAGTAGCAGCAGGAACAATAACAACCAATGTTTCCAATCATAATCCGCAAAATATTATTCTAAACATGCTATCACAACACACAATGAGGGCCACACAAACCAACGCTCGCGGATTCGTAGGCAGAGGGGACAAGATTTTATCGTTCACGGAAAATGTAACTACATGTGTTCGCCCGGTAAACACCGGTCCAAACAGTCAAGGTCAAAGGCACGGAGCAACGGATAATGCTGGACACGTCACTCGTTTATTGATTTGTATGAACATATGGTATATGATAAGCACATATCCGTTGATGATCTATCTCATGTTTTTAAATTTTATCATCGAAGATATGGATCGTGATATTCACAAATTTATGTACTATTTATCCCGAAGTCTTTGTTTTCTCAATGCGTGCTCTAATTGGATATTCTATTGTGCCTCCGGACGCTTGTTTCGTCAGCGGATTAAACAGATTTGTCGTCGATTTCTTCGCCGATTCCGATTCTACTCGAGCAGTCAGAGTTCCGGATTCAATGACTATCCGGCTAACTTTGCACGAAACACATCACATGTACTAAGGGACCAGTGTACCATAGTTCCAGTCCATGACCGTTGGGCGAATCGTCGTTCATGGCTTTCGCGAAAGGTTTATTCTGCCGACAATTTACAATTTCAAGTGAACAACCGAATGTCTTATTACTGTCAACCAGCAAGAACAACAACAACAGCAAAAGATCAACAAGACCCGTCACCGCATCGATTTGGAATTATTACATTTGTGCGAAATGTGTTACAAAATTGTCATGCATTCCAGTGTCATTGTTTCTGTACAAAACCACTACCGTGTGTTGTACATACCATTCCCACGGAATCACAAACGGAGGCGGAGGACGTAGAGGATGATGAGACCAGAGAGTCCGTATCGCACGGAACCGTGTTTTGTCCCAGGACCACTGTCCCGTCAGAACATGTATGCGAATGTGTGGCTTGTTGTACGGGGTTTTGTTGTTGGAAATTTTGGTGGTACGGATTTTCCGGCGGAGTGATGAAAGATGATTCATGTTTTTCAGCCACTGGGATCAGAGACAAATCCAAACCCCATTCCTTCGGTTTGACCTCTTCCTCATCTTCTCTGTACTTTCATTCCGAACTGGCACGACGTCATTCACATCTTCGTGTTAGACCAAGCTCTCATCCTCATCACCAGAGTCATCATTCACGCCGCTCTCATCATCACCTCTATTCATATCAAAATCATAATCATTATCATCAACATCAACACCATCATCATCATCATCATCACTACCATCAAGCGGGGCAATCCAGATCAGATGATCGCGTTCGGGAGATTGAACCAAGCTCATCGTGTGTTCGCGAGTCCAGAGTCTCACGCGGTTTACCGGAGAACAAATTGCGAGACTCCAGTGGAATTATTCGTTCCAATCATGACTTGTATGGATCTGCTCCGTCGAATCTGATCTGTCCGAGTCAGGGGCATGGTGCGGTCACATCGACTGCATTCCCTCAGTCCCAATTGACTATACACACACAACCGGAAAGTCAGTTGCGATCCTCTCCGACCACAATAAGTGCCAGTCACCCCGTGTGTTATTGCTATATGTCCTCTTTGGGCAAACGTCAGTATCATTATCATCGATGCAAGTTACACGAGAACGGTGAACAAACGCAACCGGATGATCCAGTGGATTGGCGTATCGGTCCACATCACCCGTTTGCTTTGATCCCGTTGTACACTGCACAGAGTGAGGGTCGTATCCGACGCGCGTTAGATGGGAATCGGGATGAGTTCGTGAGTTTGCCGCCGGCTCGCCAACGGTCTGCTAATGTGATTAATCCAAGATCCACTAATACACTTCATATATCTAATTGAATGAAATATACCAATTATTTTTCACACCTTATGCTATTGTTCATAAATTACGAGTAACGGTTTTAGGCGTCAAGCCACTACAGCATCTCGTGGTTCACATTTGTGAACAGATATCAGAACTATCCGCTATGGTGCCTAGGCAATTATCAAGGCTCTGATAAACCATTAGGCGTTTGTTTGACAATCATTGATCATATTCACAAAACCGATAATTGTCGTATAAATTGTTTCACAAAATAACCATTACCTTATCTAAAGATTATCCACCAATTTGTATGCGTGTCGGACCCGATGGAGAGCAGATTGATGATGTTTGGTGTGGTCAAAGAACAGTACAGGTTTTAACCAAACCCGTGCAACAGCACTCTCATTTTGGAAATAAATTTCAATCTCCAGCAAATCATACCGACATATTGATGACAATGGGTCAAATGTATTTATTCCTGATTGTATCACCCACTTCTATTTTCCTAGTTCTGTTCTATCACCGATTGGATTTAAGCGTTCTTCAGTGTAGTGATTAAATTTGTAACGATTCAAAGAGTACGCTCAGAATTTCGAAAATGCCTTATGCAAAGCAGCATGATAATTCATTTTATTCAATAAATGATCCCTGTTCCATGATAGTTGACCTTAATCTGTACGGTTCGTTGAATCAGCGTCGTGTAATGTCATCATACCCAAACCGGAAATAACATTCAAAATATTTTGGTATGTGCTTGAAGCCCAGCGGCAATTTGATCGAAAAGCGCATAAATCCGATACCTCAGTCGGTCATATTTTCACAGATAAAGGTTAGTAAATCTCCTCGATCGAGGTTGGTAATAACAACCGGTTGAACATAATAAAATATTATTTTCCCACACTCACACAGTCTCTGGAACAGTCACGTTCGATATCAAATCCGGTTCTGCTACCGCACAGCACCTGGGATTGGAATGTGATGAGAAACTTCCTGTGTATCAGAAAACAGATAAGTCATCTGCCTGGACATTGGTCTTCAGTGGTTAGGGTGCGAGGTGTATTAGAGGAAAGTGGGAAATTCTGTTTGACAGTCAACTTGGTAGACTCCATGCTAAAGCGACCACCTTCAAAGCTCACAGATAACGAAGGGAAAATGGAACATGTACCAGATGAAAGTGCGATACCCGTACAAATTGAACGAGTCATTGTAATAAATAAATTCCACTTACGTTTTCTAATGTTAAGTTGAATAAAGAAGCCAAAAACACAGGTTTGCACAATGTATCCTGGATCATTTCGCTGCATCTGTACACGTGCATACTGCAGTCTGTGATCATTATTATATGGTCAGTAAATAACAGAATCATAGGCGGAGAAAGATTGCGGTCAAAATTATTCACCAAACACATTGGTTACCAAGGTAGCGCTCGAGTGATAAGCCCTTCACGCTTTTTACATGGTCTGGGATGGTATTTTTGAATGGTTAGTGCCTCGGCGTATTTAATGTTTATTTGCTGTTTTTTTCAACTAATGCATCAGCAACCATCTTCAAAATCGTGAAATTNAATTGTACATTTTAATGTCATGTCGCCAAGAGAAGCAAAGACATAAGTGGGTATTATATGAGATGTGTCTGAATTGGGGCATTATCCTATTCAATCTCGCGAATGAGACTAGACAAACGAAGCATTGAGAGGAACAAATGTGCTGAAAATCAGGATATTACACGTGTTTGGTCAATACCTGTATGTCTGTGGTCAAACTAATCACAGTGGTTCATTTTAACTCTACTGGTTGAATCAATCCCGTTGGTGTACCGGAATTCATGCCCAGAAGAACAATCTCTGTCACTTCTAATCATTTTGCGCTGAAATAAGCTCCAAGCCATTTTTGGCACCAGCTATCTCGCAAAGTGATCCTTATGAATTAAGGCGCGTTCCACGCGCTACCCATTGCACACCAAATCGTTCCTTCAATTTAAAACGGATGCGAACAGTTGCATAAAACCGTGGAACGAGGAGTACTTGTGAGTAATTCTTCTGTGGCGGAGAAATTTAATTTCTTTTTTTCAAAATAGTGCAAACTTTCAAGTTCTCAGTGACTCCCTATGGCTTAAAAAGTGCTTTTTTGTCATGAAAGTTTGAAGCAAGTTGCAACAGAATTATTCGACGACAGTAAATTGCAGAACTCATGTTGTTCACAATCTCAGTGGCACAAACAGGCATTCAGATACACTTGGTAATTGAAAAAAAAATATTGAAAATTGGTTCTCGTAGCTCGGGTGGACTGAATTCCCTTTCGCCTGTTCGCCAACCTTGGCAATTTCTTTGCAATCTCAAAGTATCAAGGTTGGATTAATCCATTCGATTGTTCAGAGGCACCAGGCACTCTTGATGGCCTTTGTTGTGGGTTTCACTCCTTGGGCGATCGTTAATTCCCCACGAGACAATGCATTCAAATGCGATGGAAATGTTTGTGATAACCAACAAAAAGCACTGGACAGCTGTTTCGTCCTGATAGAGACTCATCAGCAGTGCGTACTTTTGTGTCCCTGTCAGGACTGGAAATGGTGCGGAACTAGCGATCTCCTAAGGAGTCAAACCCACACCAAACATCATCAACAGTGTCTGGTTGCTATGATAGAAAACTGAATGGGCTAATCCAAACATCAACATCTAAATTGATTAAGCCATTCGCACGAGGTGATGACCGTCGTCCGTGTAGCTCAGGGTTTGAAGTCCTGACCCAAATTTTCGCGGTTCTCATCCGGACGGGGACACGAAAAGTATGCACTACTGATGAGTTCCAAACAAGACGAAACAGCTGTCTGGTTGTTTGCAAACGTTTCATCACTAGCCGAGGTGAAGTAGCTGTGTTCTGTTTGTATCCGTTCGTTTATTTACGCGTGTTCTCCACCGATTATTTTTGTCACTTGTTCTCACTGTATTTCATTCGGTTTGCCGTTGAACTGGTGCGAGGGGCTGAGGAAAGGATGGGAGGAGGTTGTCCTTTCGTCCCGATTGCGGTTGCCGTCCGTTCTCAGGTCACGGTGTAACCTTTTATGTTGCGTCACTTGAGCCTTGGTCATTGTTCAAATATACCATCCCCACACATTGTAAGAAAACGCAGAGTGGCGAACAAACTCGTTTGCGGTGATTCTTTTACAAGATAAAACATCACAATTCATAAAAAATTGTATAGTAGGGGTAGAAATTATGACACGTTGAAAAAGAGATAATCAACACTCTAGTGCTATTGCTAAATTGTGAGCAACATCCGGTCATGGAACTGGAATGTTGATTAGCTCTTTTCCAACTTGTCATAATGTCTTCTCCGTACTATACAGTTTCTTATAAATTGTGATGTATTAGCCCGTAGAAGAATCACCGCAAACGACTTTGTTCGCTACTTGGTGTTTTCCTACACTTGGAAATCTCTGCTGAATATATCTAATCTCTATTTGACACGGACGGAAGTGCCCGGTTTCATGCCAAAAAACGTGATTGATTGGATCATTCATGCTCTCGGATAGAAATTCTGCCGAATCGTGTACACTACAGTAGGTTAGTTTTCAGTATTATTCGTCCTCGGTTTTGAAAGATCGCTAACATCGTCAGTATGCATACAATAATATTATCAGCTGTAATAGATCGTCTCAGGTATTCCAAGATTCGTTACGATCGCGTGGGAGACGATCCCCTTCTGCATGATCTTTTATCTCCATTCACACAGTATTATTTGTGGACTTCTATCATCGAGATAGACTAACTCATCAGCTATACGACGACTTTGCATGCGAGATGTATAATATTATCTCCGTTGTCCTATACTGCTATTGATCAAACTCACTAGATACGACTGATAAAAGAGAAATAAACTTCAAATTGAAGTTGCTTTCGTTCACATAGATATCAATATATGGTTGGAACAAATATCGTAAGTTAATATACCATTATACTGCTTCCCTATATGTCTGTATCATCACGTGACTTGACGACCGCTTACCGGGCGACGATCAAAGCTGCAGTTTTCTTAGAGTGAAACACATTCTTAATAAAAACAGTTGCTGAATTGAAGGAAATAAGCCCATCCTTTCTAATACATAATCATTAACTTTTGGAGTATGCTTCCATTCCGATCAATCTAAGGCTATTTGTCTGCCAAATATAAACTACATATGGCGATAAAAGATAATAATTTATTATCGTTAACAAGTTGAATAACTTTCTGTTTACCAATCGATATTAACAAGCAACGAGTAGAAAAATACATTCGTTTTCCTCTGTTCGTATAGCTTGTAAACTTGTTCGCTGACAAAATAACCAACGGAGTTGATATGATCGGTTGTTCGCGAATATATAACTATAAATATGTATACCGGTGTTGATCAAACTCGTGCAACATTTTGGAAACACATTTCCGTTTCCAATATATACGGATGTATACGGATGGCTATGGGTAAAGTGTATTTATTCATGATTTTATCTCTCCACTTCTGTGTTTTTATCTCTCTTCTATCGTCATTTGAATTTACGCGACCTTGAGCGTTGCGATACAATTTGTAGTAGTTCGAAAGTTACAGCTGAAATTTCGAATATGTTTATGCAAAGCAGTATGGGAATTCATTCTGTTAATAAATTATTTCTGTTCCATGAGAGTGTTCATTAGGTTGAAAATACAATAGCTGTGTGAAGTCTAGGAGACAATTCAATAATTATATTCCAGGTAGGTTTTCTACGGTGACCTTGTTATTTCATAACTTACGCACGAGCGACCATCGTCAAAATGGTACATTTTAATGGCATGTTGCTTATAGAATCAAAGACATAAGTTGGGTATTATACCAGATATGTCGCCTCTGATGTAGGACAATGTCGTATTCAATTCCGTGAATGAGTCTGGAAAAGTGATACATTGAGGGGAACAAATGTGATGAAGATCAGGATGTTGCACGAGTTTGGTCAATACCGGTATGTTTTATCTACTTATCACCATAATATAGACGGAAACGTCAAGCCCATTCGTTAACCGAGGAA